TAAAGCAGCAGGTAGGCGGACTGCGACAGGAATGGCCAAAGGTTAATTGCCACCTCCCTCCTCACACAAAGACCAAGACACGCGCACACAGTATCATCAGGGTTGTGACTTTGAGGTGTGGATCGAGCCGAGCATCACTCATAACCTCATTACTCTCTCAACCAGCATCCCACACAACGCCTCCTCTCTCTGCAACACTCTCAACAGGAGCTAACGCCTAACAAGGCAGAAGAATGGAGATGGAGAGCAGGAAAGGGAGGGGGAGAATGAACAGCTAGCATGTCGGGGTGGGGGGGTGTTTGCATGTGTGCGGGGGCATTTGATGGTTGGGCGGAAGCGGAGATCATGAGCGCTCTGTATGAAGCTCTCCACAGGTCACATCTCCCCATATACGCACGCGCACAAGGGCAGGTTTGGTGGGCCTGCAGGAGAGCTTTCCCCCGCTGGCCCTGTTTACAGTGAGTGAGGCAGGGGCTCTGGGCCGCACGTCTTTCAGGTGCATGATTAAATGAGTGGCACCCGCAGTAGTGAAACAATTAGAATTTCTGCCTCATTATCATGGTAATCTTATCAGTGGGATAATGAGGTATTAATGGATATTTAATGTGTATCTCATAACCCAATCCCTCGGAGAAAACACATAAGGAAATCGCTGTAAATTCACTTAATGATGGAAAAGTCCCCCAACGCCATATTCCGAGGAATGAAAAATGGAGGATGCAAATGAGAAGGAACCAAGGTCAATAAGACTGCAGGGACTGTGTGAATGTCAGAAAGAGGGAGGCGAGAAAAAGAGAGAGAGCACGGAAGACGAGGGAACAGAGTGAAAAGAAGGGGTGGAGGGAGCGAGACTGACTGAAAGACATGGAGAGAAGCATGGAATGTGATGGGATGAAATGAGAAGCAGTTTTAGGTTGTTCTGCACGTCACTCTGTTCCTGTACAGAAATTTTACAAACACTGGACATTTTTGAGTCAATAAGCCTAACCCTATAGTTTTGTCTCAATTCAGGAAAGCATGACTTAAAGTCAATTTATTTAGCCAAGACTGGGAGTTGGAACAAATAAATTACCCTATATTTTGGAAACTGGTTTCAGATTTTGTCTTTATTGACAAATTATACAATACCTTATTGCAATTATACAATAGTAATATCTAATTTGAAAGAATAAAACAATTTATAGAAAATTGTTCCATTTTACCATAATAATAGCAATAATATACAGTTTTAAGTTTATTTATCACTATTCAATATTTTTAATGGCATGTACATACATGTATATATAAATACATATACGTAAATACATACACATATATACAAACTAGGGGTGTGCAATATATATCGTCTGCGATAATATCGTAATTGTTGTTTTAACGATGTGCGATTTGACATTATCGAGTATTTTGCAAAAACCATTCAAAACATCCCTACAGAGCGCACGCATATGGCAAGCCATTTTATCTTAAAATAATCCCAGTGTTACTCGTCGTAATTGCATTTTTATGTGATTTTTTACTAGTAAAAAGTGAATTATAGAGCTCTGTAATTGTATTTTTACTAGTAATAATTAAATTAGAGAGCTCTCTAATCGGAAATGTTACTAGTAAAAATTTATTTAGAGAGCTTTCTAATTGGAATTATTACTAGTAAAAATTGATTTAGAGAGCTCTTTAATTGGAATTGTTACTAGTAAGAATTCAATTGTAGAGCTCTCTAATTGGAATTCTTACTAGTAAAAATTCGGAGGTAGAGCTCTGTAATTATAAATGAATGGAAGTCAATGGAGACATATGACTAGTAAAAATTGATTTGTAGAGCTCTTTAATTGGAATTGTTACTAGTAAGAATTGAATTAGAGAGCTCTGTAATT